CCTTGTAACAGTATAGGCCGAACTCGGTTATGAAGCTGGTTTTTTCCTCATCGGACTGGTCCATCTTGATTTGGTTATAACCCGAATAGGTGTTCAAGAAGCTTAGCAGCTCATGTCCCGAGGTCGTGTCCACTAGGCGGTCGATCCTGGGGAGGGGGAAGCAGTATTTTGGGCAAGCTCGGTTCAGGTCGGTGTAGTCGACGCACATGCGCCACCTGCCATTTGCCTTTTTCACCAGCACTGGGTTGGCCACCCAGCTCGGGTAATGAACTTCTCTTATGAAGTCTGTTGCGAGGAGCTTTTTGACCTCCTCGTCGACCACCCTCCAGCGCTCTGGGGCTAAGTTGCGTTTCTTCTGTCTAACGGGTCTGACTACAGGGTCAGTGTTAAGTTTGTGAGTTATAAGGCCAGGGTCAATACCGGGCATGTCGRCTGCGGACCATGCAAAAATATCTAAATTTTGGAGTAAAAAACTCACCAATTCAGTTCGTAGAGGTTCCTCGACTGAAGCACCGATTTGTATTGTTCGAGCCGGATCCGTAGCCGAGGTTGGTATTGCGACAGTCTCCTCTGTGGGCGAAGCTCGCTCCTCGCCCTGCTCCTTGGGCTGCTCTAGTTCGAGGTCGTCGGCCGCCTTGGTCTTTCCCTGACGGGCAGCAACATAACATTTGCAGGACTCAAGTTGGTCGCCCCACGCTACCCCCACACCGAAGTCGGTAGGGAACTTCATTGTCAGATAGTAGGTGGAGACTACTACCCGCAGAATATGCGTGAATGGCTGTCCTATTATGGCATTGTATGGGGAGGGGGTCGCGACTACCAGGAAATCGTGGTTGAGTCTGACCGCACAGGGCCATGTGCCGACTTCCACTAGTACTGTTATCTTCCCGAGGGGCCTGACTTCCTCTCCGCTGAAGCCTACTAGAGGGGTATTTGAGGGCTTCAGCTCGCGTCTCTACAACTGTAGCTGCTCGAATGCTAACTTGAAGAGGATGTATGCTGAGTTTCCCGAATCCACAAGCATGCGCTTGATTTCGAAGTCGTTGATCCTTAGTTTTATGACGAGCGCGTCAACATGAGGGTAGTGGACACCTCGCGCATCGTCTTCCGTGAAGAAGATCGATTCTTCCGTCTTCAGCCTCTTTGGAGGGTTCTGTTCTTCTCGGGCTGCCTCGCGAACTAACATCCGGGCTGCTGCTGAAGTACATCCTGCCACCACCGAACCTCCCACTATCACATGGATGGTTCCTCGAACTGGCCTTTCTTCCAGAGGCTATCGTAGCAGCGCTTCGGCTGGTTTGCTGCTGGATCCGGGGATATCCTTTTTGTGCTCCCCTTGTCGACCTGCCTTATTATTATTATCATACTGTACAAAATTTCTCAAGTATCCGCGACGGATGAGTCCCTCTATCTCATCCCAGAGATTATTACACTGTTCGGTACTATGACCGTGATCTTTGTGAAAACTACAATATAGATTTTTATTCCTCTCGTTTGGATTCCCCTTCAGGCGAGGTGGCCACTTCACGTATGGGGCGTCCTTGATCGTCATCAAGATCTCAGTCCRCCTYGTGTTTAACGGCGTGTAATCCGTCCGAACTGCTGAGGGAGCTCGGGACGGCTGGCTCGGCTTCGCCTCTCGAGCTGGGTTTCTCCCGTCACTTGGGTTGGTGGGCTCACCTTCCCTTTTCCTTTTCTCGACCCCGGCTTCGGTCCGTTGGTTGATTTCTTCCTCTGTTCTCATGAACTTGTCTACGAGTTTGAGGAATTCAGCCACGGTCGCGGGCTGGCTGGCTACCATGTGCCATTTGAACTCTTTGTGCGTTACTCCTCTCTTGGCCGCGGTGAGCTGGACTGCCGGGTCTAATCGCGGTATCTGTAAGCATGCTTCATTGAACCGCTTGATGTAGCCCCGGATGGATTCTCCTTCTCTCTGGACTACCCCGAAGATGCTTTCCTCCGTTCTGGGGCATCGCTTGCTGGTGGTGAAGTGTGCTGTGAAGACCTGCACGAACTGGGTCCAGCTTCTTATTGACCCTGGGGCTAGGTTCCTGTACTAGGTGCGGGCCACCCCCTGAAGGTGGTGGTGAAGGCTATGCACATGCATGATTCACTGGCCCTAGCGAGGTGCATTTGGGATTGGAAAGCATCGACGTGGTCGTTGGGGTCAAAGGACCCATCGTACTTGTTCGAAGGTGGGAGCTTAAAGTCTCTGGGCATGGGTGCCAGGAGTTCTGATGTGAGGGGAGAAGGAACTGAGAGAATCGGGGCAGCTCTTACCTCGTCCGAGCTCGTCTCTTCCTTTCCTCTGAGCTCGGGCAGGACGCGGGTGGCAGTTCGGCGACTTCGTCGGCGCCTTCGTTGAGTGGGCCTGGTACTGGCGCTGCTGGCCTTTGTGTTGCCGAGCTCGATGGGCCCGGAATGCCGGTAGTCTGCTACTAGGGCACTGAACCGGTTCTCCGTGAGCGGGAACTCGGGCCTGGAGCGCCGAGGTGCTGACCTCGCAGGCGAGGTTCCTGTTCCGCCTGCGAGCTGTGAGGCGGGGGTGATTTTCCTCTCCCTTCAGCCTGGAGATGAGGCTTGACTGTTAGGGGGGTTCTGGAGCTGGGAGGTTTCTCCCCGGTGAGGGTTCCACCCTGAGGGGAGGCCTTAACCTGCTTCGGGGCTGGGTGCCTAGGTGGAAGCAGTGACTGGTTCAAGGGTAGTTGGGGGAACTGCTATTGATAATGATGTTGGGAGAGGTGGTGTAGTACTTGGTGCTGTTGGAGTTGATGTTGCTGGAATTGCTGCATTTGGGCCTGCATCGCCCGCATGCATTGCATCAGGTCGTCCAACTGGTTTGGGCGGGTCGCCAGGGGGACAACAGTTGGTTCAGCAAAGGTTGTTTCGATAGGGAGTGAAGGAGGGATGTTCATGGTAGGAGGGTTCACGGGCGCCACTGTTTGAGGCGCATCCAAGCTGGGGATCCCATCCACAGGAAGGGGGATGGTGAACTGTCCGATGCATACTACGGGGGCTTGGAGTCGTTCCCCGGTGGTGTTTGTCTCTGTGCCACGTCCGGCGTTGCTGGAGGAAGCCATGAGTGTTGGGGTTTCTGGAAGAAGAGGAGGTTATGAGAGTTTTAGAGGGAGGCTTTTAGAAGCGATATCTCACAGACGACGCCAATTGATGGTGCGCAATCCGGTAGGTCCTAGTTGTCAATGACCTAGCCTCTAAACGGAGCTACGGGGAACCTGAAACCAAAGGGTGAGAACGCTCCGGGGGAGACCCGGTGTGGAGGCTCCGAAGCTCAAGTTAGAATCCTTCAAAGGCAAGATGAAACCAGATAGCGCAAAGTTTGCATACCTTGTTCTTGGGGGGTCGGGAGCCTTTTATAACCACCTCGCGCACTCACTTTCGAGCTCTGTCAGATCGAGCATGATTGTTTCTGAGTTCCTGCCAGTTCGGATGTCATCCCTTCTGGCTGGGCAGAACCACCACTGCTCCCTTTGTCAGAGCCGTCTCTGCGATTGGTGACGATGGTGGCAGGTGGCGGTGGCAGGAGGTCGTTTGAAGTGCGGCTGTCAAGCGTCAGATCCCAAGTCAGTTAGGTGCGCCGCCCTCGGATACGGACTCCCTCGGTGTCAGGTGTGGTACATTCGGTCAGCTTGGCATCTGGGAGGCGAGGTGCAGGAGTGGCGAGGCGAGGTAAAGTCTTGAGTTCGGATAGGGGAGTGCCCCGAACTGCCATGAGGTGGGCCAGTTCGGGTCATTACCTTGTGAGGCTCGAGCTCTTTTGTAAGGAGCTCGGGTCTCCTAGAAGAGAGCTCGGACTGCTGGTTCCTTAAATACCCGTGCCTTAGGTGCATTGTTTGTCCCGAACTGTTTTGATTTTGCCACGTAGAGTGATTGCAAGGTCGGGCCAAATCTCCCTTCATCAGTTCACATTTCACAAGATGTATTTATCATTAAAGACTTTTAACAATGTTAAAAATCTCATTATGATGTGTTACTTTATCACTGCTTCATTTACTGGTTTACATTTGAGCTATTTTGCAGTGATTTCCATAGAATGCACACAATAAATTAAACTTGCCATCTTTGTCTTTATTGCACATTACATGCAAGTAAATGCCATAAAATAGTATTTTCCATGGAAATCATTTATTAATTTTCTACTTTACATAACCCAAGTAAAATAAATTACATATTTCCCGTTGAAATACAGTGTCTTATAGTTTGTTGATGGAATTCAATTGATCATGATGATTCGTTTCTGTTCAACTTATAATATGATGAATATATTGCAGGGAAAGCCGAACCGTGGGTGTTATTTATTGCTTTAGGTAGGTAATTAATGTTGTAACCAAAGTAGTTTCATTTTTCATTTCTCCTCAAATCCTATCGTTAGTTTCTATGTTTCTTCCTATATTGTGCATTTATTACTATCATCATCTTTTCTCCTTTTGAATTTACAGGTGTGTCAACTTGTGGATTAATTTTGGTGGTGCCAATTTTATCATTCTTCTTGAGAAGGAAATTCTTTTCAAGTAACTCAATAGGATATTGGAAAACAAACGCTGAAAGCCTAGAAGAATGCTTAAAGAATTTTGGGTCAATGGCACCAACAAGATACAAGTATTCGGATATCAAGAAAATTACAAATGTCTTCAAGGATAAACTAGGACAAGGAGGCTATGGTGGTGTCTACAAAGGAACGCTTATTGATGGCCGCTTAGTTGCCGTAAAGGTCTTAACTGAATCCAAAGGTAATGGGGAAGAATTCACAAACGAGGTTGTAAGCATTACCAGGACCTCCCATGTTAACATTGTGACTCTTCTGGGTTTTTGTATTGAGGGCCCCAAAAGAGCACTTGTTTATGAGTTCATGCCCAATGGATCTCTTGAAAAATTCATTTATGATGATGATGATGATGATGATGAAGCACTAGTAGAAAATCATCCTCGCCTTGGATTTGAGAGGTTATACCAAATAGCTCTAGGCATTGCTCGTGGGCTGGAGTATTTACACCGTGGCTGTAACACACGAATTGTACATTTTGATATAAAGCCTCATAACATTCTTTTGGATGAGGATTTTCGCCCAAAAATTTCAGATTTTGGGCTTGCGAAACTATGTCCAAGACAAGAGAGTATTCTCTCAATGACGGGTGCAAGGGGGACTGTGGGGTACATTGCACCAGAAGTATTCTCTAGAAACTTTGGAGTAGTCTCGCACAAATCAGATGTGTATAGTTACGGGATGATGGTTCTAGAAATGGTTGGGAGAAGAAAGAATGTCAGTGTAAAAGCAGATCATACAAGTGAGATTTATTTCCCACATTGGATCTACAAGCGTCTGGAAATAGAAGAGGGTTTAGGGCTGCTTGGGATTAAGAGTGATGCTGAAGAAGAAATTGCCAAGAAGATGATTTTAGTGGGATTGTGGTGTATACAGACAGATCCTGCAAAGCGACCACCAATGGATAAGGTGCTAGATATGCTGGCTAGAAGCATTGAATCCCTCCAAATTCCACCAAAGCCTTTTTTATATTCTCCTCCTAGATCACCAACAGATTCTCCCACTGTTAGAGATGAAGAAGACTCCGCCACCACTTCCATCTCAACGCCCATAATTGAAGAGATGTCAGAATCTCAAGAGATAGACTTGCTTAATTCTGTCAAGACATCAAGGTCTCACTCAAGATCTCAACATGGTTTCAGCTTAGCTATTTAGATGATTTAGGCCTATCTATATCGTCATGAATGCAATTAATTAATCCAACTGCATTCAGTTTTGTTAAAGGGCGCCATTTGTAAATTTTATGATAAAGATGGAAAAACCCTTTTCTTATATTTGTCCTAAATCTTATGTTAGTATGATTCACAACCTAAATATTGAAAAAGAAACAGAGATAAATTGTAAATGAAATTAGCAGTTTGGAGATGCGGTCATCTAGACTTGTGCACATGCAGCTATGGTTAAATAAACTTATACTTGAAAATAGGAAACCATAATTATGGGTTGATCACGTTCTATATAATACAGGCACACAGCTGGATTATAATTATGGTTTTGAAAACCGGATCGGACCGATTGAATCGGGACCGGTCAGGCAATCATTTCCGTTTCACTTTAAAACCGCTCTTGGGCCAAGAATCATTGATCTGATTAACGATCCGTTGATTCAGGTGGTTAAACAAGCCACCCGTTCAAACCAAGGTTTGAACGATTCCGTGTCTAATCCGGTTTTTACAACCTTGATTATAATAGTCTCGAAGTATTTGTTGCAGAACCCAATATTATAATAAACAAACATCGTTCATCCTGACTGTTGGACCGTTCCACTCGGAAATCGGTCATGTTCCTCAGTTTTATTTATTTTTGGGCTGCTTTCTCTAAAAAACCGTCGAATTGGTTATAAAATCATTGACCCGAATGGTCTGACCATCGAACCGTTTGACCTGAACAATGGATCATCGGTTGCCTTTCAAACTAACTTAAATTAATTTAAAACAAAAAATAAATAAATTAAAAAAATTTCATTTGTGTCCTGTTGACCTATTCAATTATTCCAAAATTAGTGACCGCAACGGCAAATAGAACCAACGGGTGGTGACCACCTCTTAGTGCAGCGGAGAAAAATTACAACCATCTTGGGCTGGATGGACTGAATGCTTTTTGCTTAAAAATTTTGGTCTATAGTACGGGAGAAAATGTGCAAAGTTGTACAAGCATTTTTTTTTTTAGTCTGGAAAAATGTGTGGGGTTCTGAACAAAACTTATATTGTTTTAGTACTCAAAAACAAAAGCCTGGAGACGTTCAATTACTATAGATCAATTAGTCTCTGTGATTTACAAGGTCATATAAAAAATCTTTGTAAATAGAATTAATTCATTATTATACAACTTAATTTCCTTGTAATAGAGTGCCTTTGGTTTCAATAAACAGATAAATGATAACATTCCTATTGCTCATGAGATACTTCACACAATGAAGAAAAAAAGGAAAAATCAGAAATGATCGATATAACAGCTTTGATTGCACAATTAAAACTGTCTTTCATTGTGTAAAACTTCCCTTTTTTCTTTCATTTTAATAAATGAATATTTTAACTTTTCTTTACACTATAGATTTCAAACCGGTTGAAGTGTATTTTAGCAAAATTACTGGGCTAAGTTGCCTATACCTTTTGCACCTTGCATGTGAAAGATAAGCCTTCTAGTAAAAGTGTTCTTCATCCTAATGCATCTCTCAATAGTGTTCCTTATTTTCCAAGGGGGCTTCATCTCTGGTTGAGGGACGAAATCATCAACTTTGAGTCGCCTTCGATAATGATTGGAAATTGTTGGAATTTCAAGCAGGCCATCTTAATGGCCTCCTAGGCTACCCATGCTTCAGTTTGATTAATTATATAAAATCCAATCTTGACAACTTTAGCATCCAAGACATGACTAAGATGGTTACGAGAAATATACACGCAGCAGTACAAGGACCACTAAGATACGAGAAGCATCAAAATTGATTTTAATGCTATCTTGGATGGGCTTTCAAATCTCGTGAAGGGAATCTATGTCTCCACCTTTTTCAAATTCCAAGAATTCCAGAAAACAATGAAGGGGCTTGATCATGAATTACTTGAAGGGGGCTCACAATATTAGTAAAAATTTTCTGATTTCAATTTTTCCAAATACCCCACAAAATGAAAGCTATTTTTTCTTTAACAAGGAGCCTTTTGCTATTTTTGTTTGACAGTCTGACCCACCAATCAAGAAGGGTTTGGTCACTATCCAACGAACTCACTAACGGGTCACAGAGGATAGCCCAAATTTGGTAGAGGAATGGGCAATACTTGAAAATATGATCTAAGTCCTCTTCCTCTCTGTAGAAGCTACAAGATCCATCAATTTCAAAACCTCTTTTCTTCAAAAGCATATTAGAAGGAAGCTTATTTTGAAAGAGAAGGAAAAGAAAAGTTTTAATCTTTGGAGGGAACTTGATGTTCCAAATGATGTCAAGCCAATTTGTAGAGTTATTTGCCCCAAGGATTGTTAAACATTTCAGCAAATAGGTTGATTTAATAGAAAAATCAATAATTCTATCTTCAAATTGTCTAGGAGATATAAATATGGATTTGATTTTTTCCATAAATCATTAGGAACAATTGCTCAAATTCTGGGTTCATCCCAACACTCACCATCAAAGTATATCAAATATGATACCATAATATTTTCATTCTCCTCATTTTCAATAGAAATTATTTCTGATAAAGGTTTGTTGGTAACCCATTTCTCTTGCCAAAAACTAATTGTTCGGCCATCCCAGTCCCCACGAAATTCCCCATCCCCATCCCCATCCTCATCCTTGCTAACAGGGATAAGATTATCCCCATCCCACAAGGATCTCCATTCCCCATAATTTTTTATAATGTTAATAATTTTGTTTTTGTTTTTTTATTTAATTTAAAAAATAAAAATAAAAATAAAATAATTAAAATTTACAATCTATTCAAAAAGATTTAAACATATTCAACCATATTTTTTAAACATTAATATATAGACGTATGTGTACATATATAACGTATACATACATATATACATATATATTAGTGGGGATCCCACGGGCAAGGATCGGGGTCCCCGCAGGGCGGGGAGTTCTCTCCCCATCCCCGCTAACGGAGATGAAAATTTCTCCATCCCCGTCTCCGTGGGGGGGAAATCATCCCCATCCCCGCCCCATTCGGGGCGGATCCCCACGGGGATTGGAGAAATAGGGAAAATTGCCATCCTTATTGGCATCTAATGTCTTTTTTCAGAAGATCTCTGGAATGAAGGATGCCTTTCCATGCCCACGAGGAACTATGTTTTGGGTTAAATATCCCAAAAAGAATTACCTTTCATATATTTTCTTTTAATGAGCTTAACCCAAAGATTATTTTCTTCATTTAATATTTTCTATCCTAATTTTGCTAGGTTTACTTAATTTACCCATTGGAGATTTCTAACTCCTAAATCCCCCCATCTTTTGGGAGTGCAAATACAATTCCATTTCATTAAGTGCAAGGGTTTCTTCCCTTCATTCTTTTTCCATAAAAATTCTCTTTTAACTCTTTCCAGCTCCCTTAAAGCATTATTTGGAATTTTAAATGACCTCATGATATATTGTGGCAGTATATTTGTAGTGGAGTTAATCAGTGTAGAGAATTTTTTTCCAATTTGCTAATTTTGGAGCATTTCTCCTTGACGAAGGCAAATGTATTATTTGTAGCTCTTTTGTTAATTAAAGGAGCACCTAGATAATTCTTTGGATCCAATTCTTTTGCAATTCTTAGCATCCTTGAAATCATTTTTTGAAGTTTAGGGTGAATATTCCTTAAAATAAAAGCTGAAGATTTGTTGAAGTTTGGGGTTTCTTCCAATGCTTTCTCATAATTTGAGAGGATTTCCTTAATTTTCATGCATGCAAGAACTATAGTATTTGAAAATATAATACAACTGTCAACAACTTATAAAATGGAAATCTTTGGACCCCTCTAAAAATTCTGCATCCAATATTATTCATACCAGAATCTGCTTTTTTTTCCAAATTCTTTCCAAGAGCCTTAGCACAGAGAACAAAAATATAAGGAGACAGAAGATCCCCTGCTTGGAATGAATTTAGCCAAAGGTCGTTTCTCCAATGGTATTCCAATATTTCTTAAAATTTCCTCATTTATGACATTCTTAGTAATTAAATTATTTTGATCCTCTACGATGCAATTATTTAAGACATTTAAATAATTGTATCCTGTTGGATGAGGACTTTAGTCCAAAATTTTCGGATTTTGGACTCGCGAAATTATGTACTCAAAAAGAGAATATTCTATCAATGACGGGTGCAAGAGGGACTGTGGGGTACATTGCACCAGAAGTATTCTCTAAAAATTTTTGGAGAAGTTTCACACAAATCGGATGTATACAATTTCGGGATGATGGTTGGGACAAGAAAGAATATCGGTGTCAAGGCAAATCATACAAGTGAGATTTATTTCCCACATTGGGTGTACAAGCGTATTGAGATTGAAGAGGATTTGGGACTGCATGGGTTCAAGTGATCAACAATGATGTTGAAGAAGAAATGACTAAGAAGATGATTTTAGTGGGATTATGGTGTATACCGACAGATCCTGCAAAGCGACCATCTATGGATGAAGTGATAAATATGCTGGTAGGAAGCATTGAATCGGTACGAATTCCTCCGAAGCCTTGTCTATATTCACCCTCCGGATCACCAACAGTTTCTCCCACCATATCTATATCTTAAATACAATTGATTAATTCTTTGAGATCAAACCCGACCCCCACAACTTCCCACAATACATCTCCGTCATCTATTGGGAATATCTCCCGATAATAAAATCAAGAATGATGATGTCATCATCGGGAGATATTCCCCAATACATGGCGGGGATATGCCATATTGACCCTCCAGATCACCAACAGCTTCTCCCACCATATCTATATCTTAAATACAATTGATTAATCCTACGAGACCAAATCAGCCCCCCATAAAACTGCCCCCACAACTTCCCACAGCACATTTCTGCCGTGTATTGAAAACATCTCCCGATAATAATATCAGAAATGATAATGTCATCATCAGGAAATGTTCTTAATACATGACAAGGATGTGCTGTGGAACGTTGTAAGAGGCAGTCTTGTAGGGGGCTGATTTGAACTCTAGTCCTGAAATTAATATAATGTAATAGGTGATATTATAGTGAAATTAATATATTTGTCCTGAATAAAATATATCCATAATTTTCATAAATTGACTTGATATATTTTGTGGGCTAATATACCATCTAAGAAAACAACTGATTCCCACCTGTTCATGAAGGTTTTCATAGTCTATTAACTCTTCACCAAATTCTTAAGGGTAAAT